CTATTGGTCGGCGTCCTAACGGTTCCTTGTGAATGGTGCAGCCTTAAAAGCTGCCATAGCACGGTCACTTTTTGGGATGCAATGTAGAGATCGTTGCTCGACCCGACAGAATCTGACATGCTTTTTTTGGTAGTCACAGGTTCATCCGAAGGGAAATTTCAGGTACCATTTTTATCGTGAACTGTGCCTTCAGATCTTGTATTTCTTCGTACTGACAGCAGCACTTACTCTTAATATGAATAGGTAATACAGAATCCATCAACTGACATGAAACATGGTCCGATTGTTATGCGCAGCATCAGCCAGCTGGAACTTTTGCTGACACTCAGAGGGATGATTTCTAGAATGAAGATATGAAAACTGGATGAATCCTTCGGAGAAGGCAAGCCAAGTTACCCTTTGACAGCGTATCTGCTAGCTCCCGCGATTGCAAGTGTTCTCGACTGAGTATTCTCGAAAAGTGCAGCAGCCTGAGCACATACAGGGCCATCGGAATCGTAGTGGACCGCTGAGTGATGTAATAGCCTAGAATTCAATTGATAAATCGAATAGAGAACGAAGAATGGACAAGCTCACTTAATATGCACTAAAAGTTGAAGCTCGGAAACTCTAGAAAAACCAGGAGATGCTCAAGTCAGTGCCTGCTGTTGCCCAAATAAATCAAAAGGTCTTGACAGTAAGGTTTTCGAGGAAGTCCCCTAGGATGAGCCTGCACAGTCGAAGGATAGAATATGTGGGACATGGTCCGATCGAAGACGATCACGACAGATGGTTATAAGAGCTGCAAAACCGGCTTGAGCGACGTACCACCCAAAAGCGGCCGTGTTATTACGGCATTTTTAAGGCTGTATCATTAACAATGAAGGGCTAAGACGCTAACAAGTAGAAGTGAGACACGCCGAGACGGTTACAGACGCATAATCTCGTACATCCTCCCTCCCTGCTACCTTTACGAAGTCTTATATTTTTTGAAATCCGTCCTCTTTTCCGCTTCCTTCGCCATTTTTGCACTATTCTGCATCGTATCTTCCTTTATTTCACCTGAGCTAGATACTTCGGGATTATCACAAATTATGACTTCAAACCAACAGGAAGACCTCCGAAGGCAGAGAGGCACAGCTGGCCCTTATGGATTCTAAGGTACAGTTCACGATAACTTTGGGGTATCCAGTTTCCAACGAATGATGAAAGTAATAGTTAATAATAGTGCAAAGACAATGATGAAAATCGAAAAGCGACGTATTTGCAAAAATACTAGGCTTCAAAAAAGTATTGTAGTACAATAGGGGATTGGACAAAATTGTGATGGAGAAAATGGCGTGGAAGAGATGCCCTTAACGTCTGTAATTGCGTACAGCTTATTTAATAGGTGCTGATTGATCGGATTTAATCCTCACTTGCTATGATGCTTTGTGGACATTATGATGCATCTGAGCATCCAACGGATCCGAAAGAAAACTAATTCCTACCAATCTTCCCTTGAACATCCCCTCACCACTCAGCGATCATCTGATTGGATGCCGAACGCATGGGTCTTGGCGCGAATAGCGCAACCTGTATCGCCTCGGCAACTCTTCTGACATAACATCGGTCGATGGGCGTGGACGTCGACGAATCCAGCAATGGGGCTACTATTATGCCCTATCAATTGAGATTTTCGGCCCGAAAGCATCTTCTGTGTTACCATTGGGGTCCACTGGGTAATTAAAAGGGAATCTAAAGAACCATTTTTGTCGTGAACTGCGCCTTTGAATGTCCAAGTTGGTAACACCGAATGAAGGAAAATGGTGGAAACATGAGCTCAGTGCGAAATTCTTAAACTTGAACAGGAGTGAAAACTCAGCGATATTCTTTGTGTGAGAGAAGCTCTGCCTCAATCGCCAGCCCTAAGTCGTCGCATTAGCCATACAATTTTTTAACATCTCAGTGAGAATAGAAGTTGAGTGCGCGGCGCATTCCAGAGAAAGTAAACAACACTCACCATCAAACTTTACAGTTAATGTCACTTTTGAAACTCAAATGGTCTCTAAGCAGACTTCCATAAACGAATTATTAGTTAAATAACCAACCGACGTGCAAAGGATTTTGATGCGATCACGGTATAACCCCACATCCGAGGAAATAACAATGGTCCCGTGGGGATCAGCTCGTGAATCACACAGTAGTGTCCCTAAATTGCAAATTAGAAAAGATCTTCGCATCCAGGAGGAGGGTACTTCAAAAGAGCATGATCAATCTAACTTGTAAAACAGTTATGTTCAGGTATTCCCTCAGGTGTGGATAGTTCTTTAACACTTCTCCGTTGAGATTCTCGAATACGTCCAATCGATAGACATATGAGAGCAACTGAAAGATCAATAAATAAAATAAGTTGTCTCTCAATTGAGGTGACAAGGAACCCTTCACCCGGAATTATGATAATTTTTAACATGATAAACTATATACCACGATCAACCTTTTTCTGATTTTGGCATGACCTTTGACCTATGTATATTTGCTTCAGCCTTTCCAAGGTCTAGGCTTGCTCATTGTATGCAAATTTTAAATTCTGGGTGGTCGATCTAACGCTCCGGCGACTTAGATCGATGTAAGCCTCTCGTATACCAGGTCCGGGAGGCCCCCTGTACTAGTCTCCTGTACTCTGGCGAAGGCGAGCATGCCGAAACCATATAACGTTTGGCCCTATAAAGTTTGAAATAAGTTTAGAAACTTGGAAAGGCTGAAGCAAGCATATGAAAAACTTGTTATTCATTCGACAGCAACGAGATTTTCTGAAGAGGGTGAATCTCGGCGGAGCTCAATCAAGGTAATTCAAATAAAAGGGAATAATATTCCTTTGAACTATATTTACAGTCGTGCAGTGAAAACATGAAACAAGCTATGGTATTTACAATAATTTCAAGGGGTGGATAGATGCACGAGTGAAGCTTTTCTTTTTTTGGGCTACATGATAGCTAAAGGTTCCGATCCCTGAGAAAAGCAGTTTTTGGGAGACGGGCCTTTGGATCGGTTTCGCGTAATCGACTCGTCGCACGCGACAGTCGCGGAGCATTTGCCTCGTCATTAAAGTTCTAGCCTTCTTCATACAGCTCATTCGATATCCGATTTTTTTCGGCATAATTTTAATGTTGGGTCTTTCGTTTCTGTATTTTTCATTGCTGCTGTATTCCCCTTCAGTCCTTCGCGCGCGGCGTCTCTCTCGCCGCGTAGCGACAATTTTGATCCTACTGCACCACACCCCAGGTCTCAGGTGTAGTTGACTAATTGAGCGACACGACTGTCTGCAGCGTAGTGCTATGTCGTCTTTCTTCCATGCTTTGCAATCTATCGTGTATATCCGAAGGCTTTCCTTAAGAAGGTTACATCACATGTCACAAAGTAAAACTAATGTGTACAAATAAATTCATCGCTTGGGCAATTGTAAATGTGGTTAGGAAGCATGGAAAGATTTCCCTGACTCAATGTTTTCTGCAGTTCTAAATAAATAATAATTACCGGACTCAGAACCCAGACAATAGAGTTTCTCGGACGCAGTACCCAGGGATGGATAGCACAGCGACTTACTTCCTACAAGGTAACCGAGATGGCACGCATCCCTCTACCCCCTGTTCACTCTATCGACGATAACATTGACTTACTTTCCTCATGTCCTCCCTCTCTTCTGGTGTTGGCAGGCTTTTCTCCCACTCCTCTACTGTTGTTGAATTCTGCCTAGCGAAAAATGTTTCCAAATATGTGTTCAGCTCAGCTATGGAGATATCTTGGCGAAGAGAATGTGTCTCTATAGAGATTAGCGGCAATAATAATGAAATCGGTAGTTGGAGAACAAAGTGCCTCATCATAGCCCCTGTAACGACCTGAAATTGAAGGCACAGTTCACGATAATTTTCGCGTACCCGGTTTTTGACGGATAATGAAAGACACGGTTTAGAATAGTGCAAAAATAACGGAAAAAAAAAG